TTGTGTGACCAGCCTGCCCCAGCTTTATTTGCATTGTAGGCAGGGCGCTTGTCTCAAATCTCAGTACGGGGAGTACAACAGCCAGATACCAGTGGACAGAGCTTGCCAGAAACAAAAACAATGGATGGAAAAAAGAAGCAGGAGGATGAGGATGGAGAGAAGAAGACTGCAAAAGGAACAGTCGAAATAGCCAGGCATAGACGGGCATCTTCTAACGCCATTCGAGAAGTCCTGTCAGCAGGGGTCGGTGTCTTGCCAGATGTTGTTCCAACACATCCGATGGACTTCGGCGAACCCTCCGGTGATGGGCATCCAAAAACAATTCTATGACAAACTGGTCCGATTCGGCAGAATGCCAGCTCCCAGGCGATTCTCCCTGCACGCATTCCCTACCGCTGGTGCGCGCGAACATCGTTTCCCAATGCAGAGGCAGCCAGGCTACTCCACGAAATGAAGTTTGAGTGGCAGATGGACGCCGACTTCGATTTGCCTTTCGCTCTACACAGGTGTGATTGTATCAAGGCAATCAATCACCACCGAGAAGTTCTGGAACTCGACACGTGCATACATGAATGCCTGAAATTGAACACTGCAGCATGAAATCATGGCTACTTTGAGACGCACAATGCCGTGATCCCTGAATTGGCTGACGGGGAACGTCTTCTCGGCCGACAGAACATGAGCAGCATCCACTGCTACCTTAGTTGTCGTGGACTATCCAAATGGATGACTTACAGGCCCACACTGTATGCCTCTCTTGACAAGGGATGGATGGGTGCGCAGGCGGGATGGACCCAACAGACCCGTGGACGCGAGCACCCTCCAAGCAGTAATGATCAAGAAAGGACATGGACTTGGGGGGGACGGGGGGCGTCCATCAATAAACTGTGAGGCTCTGCTCTGCTAGACCAGCACCGTCTAGTCGGGGTCCTTTCCTAGTCACCGCCCATACGTCCTCCAGTACGGAGTACACAAGTCTACTAAGAGGTAGTTATCAATGGTCCAACATACGGGGGCCAGGCTTGTCTCTCGCCTCTTCGGCCAGAGAGGAGCCTATTACTTCTTGCCTCATCTCTTATTTCTATTTCTGAGTCGATACCCCCACATCCAGAAGTTCAAGTCCCGGACCCTCCACACATATATCCGCCAACCTGGAGCCTCTCTGGGAAGACTCACCTGGAAAGTTCTCGCCGTTGTTTTCTGTACATGGCCTACACAGAGCCCAAAGTGCTAGCTATCTTTTCTTCCCTTGTATTTGTTCATTTCACGCAGGCTGTGTCATTCAAGCCCGTGTTGGTACACTCCTGAGTCCTCATCGCCCCTAGACGCATGTTTATCCTCTTCCTTCCGTCCGCCTCACCCCGAGATCAACTACAGCCACCGGCTCGTCAATACATTTCACAACGTTTGCCTAGATTTGGCTGCCGAGCTGCCGAGTTTCTAAGCCGCTGGCTGCCTTGAAACCTCAACGCATTGGCCGTGGAACGAAGCTGTACAAGGGGATGACCATGGCATTCTCTCCCGCAGCTTGCAATATCCTCTCAGGGTCCCCCCCAACAAGGCCTGCCAAAACTGCTTTTCGGGAGTCTAGGACAGCAAAATCCTCGCTCGACACTAGCCAGATTCTACAGGGCTTTGATTTCAACGTTGGAGTTCATAGGAGACTCGGCCCGCCTCTGGCTTCCTCTGTGCCTTACGACGAGCTTCACCAACTCAATACGTCTTTCCCAAACACGGTCTGTGTTGACCGTGATCCAGGTGCCGAAATCACGACAGACTATACCAATCGGCATCCCTCCCCACTCTGTTCGTACCTGTCTCCAGAATATTCCAGCGCATATAGCCCATCCATGGCGAGTGATGGGGTGCATGATCATTCGCATGAACCAAACAATATGTGGATGATGACACCAGCAAGAGACGTCGAAGGCAACACGCCTCACCGTACTTCGACTCCTGTCTCTTTAGGAGGGATAGTGAGCACAAACCAGGCATTTGTTTCCAACTATGATTCCGCACCATCTGAAAGCACATCAACAAACTGGCCCTCCCATCGATCAGGTATTCATTCACCTGGGCAGATCGACTACAATCTTTCAGCAGACCAAGCCACCGACGCCATGGCTAACATACCACCTCAGCAGCACCAGCCGGTCCCGTTACCATATTTCAATTTTTCAGCTTTGACAGAAGATCCTTCCCCAAACTACCCATATGACTCTGCCCACAGCTTGACCGACTGCTCGACAACAGTGCTGCAGTATGAACGGGAGCCCCTTTTTGAAGACTCCATACAACTATCTCCAGAGCCTCACACCGGGGCAGTCGCAGGACCCAGTGGCATAAGAGAACACTCGATGACGAATGTGGAAGATTCAGCCCTTCCCAGATTACCTCACTACACCGAGAGAAAACCCCTGACCTGCAAATCATGCAGGAAGACAATTACAGATCCAATAGAGGAGGCGGCTCATGACAGAGAGTGTGACGGGCTTCCATGTCTGTTCCTCTTTGCCGGATGCAAATCCAGATTCAAAGGGAAAAATGAATGGAAGCGACATATCAAAACACAGCACCTGCTCTCGAAGGCCTATGTCTGTCCGGATTGTGATATGAAAGAGTTCAACCGAAAGGACCTCTTCAAACAGCATCATATTCGCATGCACAGCACAAAAGAGGAGCTCGAGGCGTTTAAACGTAAGAGTCAATCTGATGCATTTGAGAAGAAGCTTCAGGAGAAATTGCAGCAAGCAAGTTGTGGTTCGCAAACGCCCTCTCCCAAAGCAGACACCTGCTTCATGCTAGGCTGTCAAACCAAGTTTGCAGAAGTTGACTCATGGGAACGGTGCTTGGAACACGTTGCCAAACATCACGAAGCCGTGATGAAGGGTAAAGAAGCAGCAAGAGAGTATAACTTTACGAAGGAGCAGCTACATTACTTTCAAAGAATCGGAGCCCTAGTTTACAGAAACGGAAAATGGTTTCTTGGTGCGCAATCTAGTGGAGAGCGAGCTCGAAAGAACAAAAAGAAGATTGCGAGGAGAGAGGCCGACGGGGGGCTAGGAAACTCTGCTGCGAAACCCAAGCGGTATCGCAGGAGTTAATGCCTTGAATGATCCAGAAGAGATATGACATGCTATGGCTCAGTAATGACGGAACGATGAGTGCGGGTGCCCCTCCAGGGGCAATGTTTTTCAACTACTTTTCTTTCTTCATTTTCTTCTTCTTCATCTACACCATATCCACCAAATTAACATTAGAAATCAAGAAGGGAACAGGGCAACTGACAAACAAGCAAAAGGGACGGGCGATGAAGGCATTTGTATCTGTGTTTGTTTTTGTTTCTGATCTACGTTTAACTGCCAGTCGGCATTTTCATAATCTGTTCAGTAATGTACTTGTCACTATCTCTTCATTTTGGGCAGGCAGGGAGTACAGGTAAGAGAAGGGGGGGGGAGGGGGAGGACCAAAGAACGGATGTATAGGCTCCCAACGAGACCAAAGGGACATGTATAACGCAAACGGAAACAAGACATCTATACCATCTACAACCAGCAGTAGAGCTGGACACTTGCAATATGAATCATTCCTCACAACGGCTTCCTCCAAGTCGCATCAAGTGCAGAACCAGCGCCCCCGTCTCGCCAGCTTCCCCTGTCCCGGCAGGAAAAGCTCGCTCCCCACCGATCATGTTCCAATGTCCTGGTATCACGCTGCCCTTACCCCTGACGGCTGCCCAGGAACTGCTCGCTTCCCAGACCCAACAGACCCCTCTCCCGTCGCTCACTTTCGTCCGCACCCCGGCCCCCAACTCGTCGAGTCTTCAGACGGGGGGGCGGGGGGCGGAATGCAACCCCTCCCTCACGCCCTCTCTGCACGTGGCTGGCAGGGACGCATCCAAAGAGGCAAAAGGCGACCGAGATGGTGCCCCCCCCCGGGACGCATGTACACGTATCCGGGATGCCAATGCTTATCGTACTACCAGAATCACTTTCAGCCCGACAAAAAAAGAAAAAGTGGTTCTTGCACAGAAACGAACCCCCCCCCCCCCCCCCCCCCCCCCGGGGGGGAGCAGGCAAATCGGTACCTTGGCCGTTTGAGAAGTAATATCCTCGATGCGGGATTCACCGAGGCTGCTGACTGTTTCAGGGGGGAGTGTAACCGTAAGCGTGAACACCACTCGCGATTGGCGAAGGAGGACAATCGATCGGGAGGCTATACTCGGGGAAGACAAGAATGGGTCAACCCGTACGTGTGCATGGGGGAAGCATTCTGAGTACCGAGTACACCGCACATTCTAGAAAACCACTGGCAGCCATGCTTTATGATATACGCACATGTCGTGCGACCCATCATGGATTGATGACAGCCTCAGAGTTTCTATTTCGAGACGGTGGTGGCTAAAAATGACATACTCTAAACAAACACAAGTTCCCCTGTCAAAATTAACGTCATCCACTGACCAAGACAAAGCAAAACAAACCTCCTACCGAGTGCTGTTGGAATTTCCACGGCGATTCCATTGCAGCAGTTCCTTCACCCAATCACACAGACTAAATATACATCCGTCACATCCGTAAACAATGTATCCATCCCACGTCGTCCATTATTTTTTATTACGACAATATTAACGAACAACATAATTATATGACGAATAAAGTGACGGTAACGCTCTCTGCCGTTCATGCCGGGCGGACCCCGATTTCGTAGTTGACAAATTTGCAAAGGTATTCCAATCCAATGTCTTTCGATCGAGCCGGATATTTCGAGACGTTGGTGCCACTTGTTTGAACTTTTGATAACGAAACAGTTGATAGCTGCAAATTTTCACCTCGAAAGGCGAAGTATTTATGTATAACAATGGAAAACATATTTCAGACGATTCGAGGCGGCACACACTAGGGCCGGCTGACTGACCAGATCGCCGTGTGTATTAGTTCTGCCAAGGAAACACGCCTGCATCGGTTTCAATGAACATAGACTGACAATCAAGGGAATAATTACTCTGACCCAGGTTTGGGCTGGTGTTGCTTTGCTTTTGGTCCATTACGCTGAGCCCGTCGCTGTTGTCGAAGCTTACAGGCCATTGCATAGCCCGGCTCAGTCGCTTTTCTCCATTCTACCCAAGCTTCATATTCCTGCTGATCCTTAGGATTAGGTTGCTTTGGCTTTGGAACTCGGCGAGGCAGGGAGTCGTTCGTCTGGGCTACTGGAGGAATACTGCTCGTATTCGGCACGCCGATCTTAGGTTGCGAGCAAGGTGACCCAAGGCCGTTGAACAATTGATTTTGTGTAATAGGAGGCATAAAACTCTTCGGTTGAAGCGGTCCACAAGTATCCGGTATAGCTGTGCCAGCCTGACTTGTCGGCCACACTCCTGGTTGTGCCACCAGAGGTTTAGATGCATCTGGCATGAGTGGAATTAGACCCAAGAAAGACGCATTACAATGGGGAAATGGCTGAAAAAGGAGAGGAATACTCGTAGTATTCATACATGGCACCGGTACCGCTCCATCTGGAGTAACGAATTGATTGTCCCTAGCGGCTGGAGCTTTGTGTTCAGGTTCTGATGGGAACACCTCGCGGCGCGAAGACTCGTCCACTTGCTCGTCAATCGAGATATCAAATGATAGCAATGCCGGTCGCCGACCTTTCCATGACGTATTTTCTGTCTTTTGTGAAAAAGAAAGAAACTCTCTGGCTTTAGGATTGAGCGAGTTGTATTTATCCGGGGCATCACCAGCCGTCGAGTCGGTAGAGTGGTCCCCTCGCCGCGATTCCGACACAGGCCAGTATCTAACAGCAAAGTCTGAAGCGGTCTTGACTCGCCTTCCTGTGCCATGGGTTGGTCGTCGTGTAGCGGGCACAGGAGCCGTACCCGTAGGCTGAGGCTGAGGTTGCTGTGCTCGCGATGATTCAGGCTCATATCCGCTGTCACGACTTCGATCAACCGGTTTCTTCTCTTGCGAAGCAGCACCGTTCAACCTTTTTATTAACTTTTGAAACGCTATGTCCTTTTGCTCCAAGACATATTGCCGATGCCCCGAGGTATTCGAAGCCCCTTCATCAATGTCGGCATCACCAATGTTAAAGTCCTGCAGGCTTCCGGAAGAGAACGAAAACCCGGAGTCCTTGGACTGAAGTCGACACGGTTGACTTTTGCCCATATTTTTACCAATTTTAAGGAGAGATTGCTCCGAGAGGCAGGACAAACGCTGCGATGTATGTTGGCCACTCGAAGATGTGTGGCCGATTTTTCGAGGTGTTGACCCAGTTGCTTTCAAAGCGGCCATCAATTGATATCCCTGGCTCTCGTCTGGCGTAAGAGTGTGTTTTCTTGATATCATTTGAAGGAATCTATCGTCGACACTCTCGTCACCAGAAGAAAACCTGGCAATTGTGCATCTTTTGTCGCTATATGAAGAGTCTTGGCTGCATACCAATCCAAATAGATCGAGGGTGCGTCCTTGGCCTTGATCGTGTAGCTTGGCATGCCGTACTACGTCGAAAAAATGGTTGCCAGATACGTGGCTTCCTAAAAAGTCACTGCACGCGCCCCATCCCAGACTATCGTCACCAAGGTAGCAATGCGGGTTTGTGGAATGCTCAAACTCGACTTCTGACTTTTTTAAAACTTCCTGAACACTTGGCTGCTGCTTCATCGAATCTTGCAGAAAGGATGAAAAGTTGTGATGTGATGGAAATGTGGATTGAGGGATGTCCTGGACCAACGGTTCCATGCTCTTCGAAGCCGGTGTCGTAGAATTGTCCTGGTCATCATGAGCGCGTCTTCTACGCCAGTTTGGGTCGTTGAGTGGCTCATTGAACAATGTTCCTGTTTCTTGGCTTGCAGAAAGGTCTCTTTTCGTATATGTGCCTCCGTGGCTCGATTTGTGTGATTTATTCGCGCAGGTAGCAGAGTGGCCCTTACGGACGATGCCATATCCCGCCTTCTTGCCGCTACATGAGGCCAGGCCAACCATCTAGGATAAATTCATTAGCATAAGTCACTGTGTGTAGTAAATTGTAGCGCGTACGGCGTTGAAGCGATGTATCAACTTAGCAACTACAAGATCCTGGGTATGTTGTACGTGCGAGGACGTGATGTGAGCGCGATTGTTCCATTCCACGGGTGAACCGCTTTTGATCGTCCTTTCGTGGAATCTAAAAAAACAGACGCTAGGAAGCTCCTTTATTTTTGAAATAATTGAACGGCTTTCAGATGTGCAATTTTTGAAAGAGTTTGAGGCCAGTCGTGTGTGAGGTCTTTTAGTTAGAACACGGCCTCAAAATGAATGACGGCGCAGTCGGACTCCTTTGCACTCTTGAGTCAAACTTCACGAGATGCAACGGGTACCCAGAAACGACAGCTGCTGGAACATGGGCTGGCAATGGAGAAGGTGACTTGAATCTGAGGTGGAAGCAAGGGCAGGTGGCCAAGTTAGACCCCAAAGCCCGCGAAGAACGATTTTAGAAACTAGTGTCGCTACTGTGACAGAAACGCTCACTGTTCAGGGTGTTGCAAACGTCGAGTGGGATAGGGGTACAATCCAAAAAAACAAGAGACAGAGGGCAAAGAAAGCCGCGCTGGATGTCAGAACACGTTCGCTATGGAGTAGCCAAGAAGGACGGTGAGGGCGAAGTGAGAAAAAGGTGAAGAGAAGTTCAAGAGGTCGACAGTGGCATTGGGACGGTTGCCAGGAGGCAGGTGTTGACGCGCGGGCACTGAAAATGTCGGCAAGAGCAAATGTGCCATTGATGCTTTCCGCCCACGCCTTGCCTTCCATGTTGTCTTGTGACTTTGAGCCATCATCAACGCTAGATGCACACGTTTCAATAATTCATGGTATTAAAATCACGGGCAATTGCGCTGACAACAGGTATATTCCGTGAAAAATGAAGATGAAAGAACAGCGTAAGAGGCATATTCCTCGAGAGGACTAGGGATAAATATGGCAAGTAGATAATGACAAACTGATGCAACCGCCTGTTGAAAGAAAACACTGCAGAGACATAATAAATGGTCCATAATAAATGGTCCCGCGACATATCAGTTAGCCTTGAACAGCCTGACCACCCATGTAAGCAGTGAAAGCTTTCTGCTCGACTGGTTAGTCCATGGCCAATGAATAACGACCAAGGAGCAATAGTACGTACCGGGTTACGGGTTTGGATAAAGACAGTCCCGGGACCTGTAAACTTGCAGACGAGGCCTTCTGCGGATGCCATGTTAGATATAATACCGCCAGAAGCGACTCGCTCAAGGACGTATTTGGTATTCCATGCCACCAGGTGGCCGTTATCGACAATGTACTTCTCACCATCCACAAGCTGCCGTGGGTTAGTTTGGAACCAAATTGGGACGAGATGGGATTCTGGTCAAAGACTCACATCCTTACGAATAATAGCGCCGAAACTTGTGAGCCACATGATACCAGTGCCGCTGATTCTATACACAAACAAGCCTTCTCCGCTAAAAATTGCTTTCCCGAGGCCCTGCCGTTTGTGGTCTTTGATAATTCCCTGAGTGGCCGCGAGAAAGGCGTCGTGCCCGACAACCCAGCTCTCTTGGCCAGTCAGACGGATGCTGGTAATATCTCCTAGCATGGGGGGAGCAAGGAGAAGTTCACCAGGGCCGACATATCTGGAAGTTGTCATGTCTGCGCCAGCAATCATCTTCTTCACACTAAACTTCAGTTCTCCTTTAAGTGTGATGGATGGGGACATGGCAATCATGGCGCCTTTTCACTGTTAATCGGGAACGTGAGCTACACATGGACTAGAACAGTACATACCGGGTTTGGCTTGCATAGGACAGCCTATAGCCAGTTGAATGGTCAAGATGGTGTTGGAATCACGGTGACTAATGCGGTAGCTCCCGCCATTGAAAGTGCCCACATCATCAACTACGGCGCCTGCGCCAACGAAGTGACCAGCAGGCGGCGCTCCAGCCGAAAGATTAGAGGGATCACTTGTATCTAGTGGCTCTTGTTGTTGTTGTTGTTGTTGTTGTTGTTGTTGTTGTTGTTGTTGTTGTTGTTGCCCAGCCTTCTCCGGGGGATATGGCGCATTGCTCCCGGGAAACGATGGAGGAGGGTCAAATGCAGGCGGGTCTTGCTGTTTAGGATGATGGTCACTTGACGACGCTGGTCTCACGGCCAAGGAAGCCTGCTGGAGCGGTTGAGGAGCAGGCGGAGAAGTTGGGGGAGGGGGGTACTGGTGCGAAGCGGCACGCTGGTGGTGAGCCTGAGACGATGGACTTTGCTGGGGAGGCGGTGGGTATTGTTGGGCGTTGGAGTGGTGAGACAACTGAGGAGACGGGGTGTGTTGCGGTGGCGGAGGATAGTTCATCTGCTGCCCTGGAGAAGCCTGGGGAGGGGGAGGGTAATTGACAGGCTGGAAAGGCGAGCCCTGGGCCGGCGGAGGGTAGAATTGTGTTCGGTTGGCGGGAGGCGATGTTGGCGGACCTGTCTGCGAGTTAGATGCAAACCTGGTTGATAACGGAGATGTCAGCCGGGGTAATCGAACCTCCAGGTGCCGATCCCGGGGGGGCTAGAATCACAGATAAATATCCGTCAGCTTAGGCACCTCAAGCGTAGAATGTCAGAGGCCTCGATCGGAGCATGACAAGTTTGCCTTACGAGGATAATACTGAGGCTGCTGCGTAGCCATGGTTCAAGCGTAGGTGTCCCAGGCAATATCACGCCCTCTGCGAGTGCGATTATACCAGCGTATGAATGTGTCAGAGTACCGACGGGATGGGCTGCCTTGCGGTCCCAGTGGCGTGGGTGGCCTTTGCTGAGACACGATTGTCGTTGTTGTTGTTGTTGTCGTCGTCGTTGGAAGTTTGAATGGACAGATGAAGTCTCCAGGGTTCGCGGCTCGCCCCGCAATGGCGTTTGGCTCCTGGCCTAAGGCAACTCTCAACGACGAGGATAGCCAGCCTCGCAATTTCTTTCTTTTTTTTTTGGCCGACGAGCGGGAAGAGTCAAAATGTCCACGACCTTTGGGTAAATCTGAAGTCGTCAATATCGACAGACCCGAGTCTGAGCTGATCTTGCACCGGACCTGGCCCTAGGACAACGTAATCAACTTCTGAACGGAGCTCAACAGCCGCCCGATGGCCAGCTCGTGGGCGGTTGAGACATGGCAATAGACCAGTCAGCAGCTCGCGAACTGCAGATGATCCCCGCAGTTTGAATAAAGCTCAAGAGTGTGGGCCGTGAAACGTGGGACACGGTCAACCCGCTCGCGAGGCTTGAAACGCTTGAGATGTGCGAGATGTGGTGCGGGACCGCCTCGATTGGCGGGCCGTGCTCCATTAGCGCCCAGGTGGGTCCCCAGCATTGTATGTACTGTACGGAGTATGTACGGAGCATTCGTGCTGGACTCAGGATAAGTAAAGTCAATACTTAAGTACCAGACATATGTATGGAGCGCCTGGAGCCGCCGTCGGCGTTGCGCTCCGTTACGTCAAGTTGGTGCTGGTCCCTGGAGCTTGAGGCCTGCAGCCTGATGACAGGGCAACCAGAACAGTCTAGTTCATCTGGTCCAAGCTCTCATAAACGTTGCATGTTGGCGTGGTTGGTTCAGCCTTTTCATGTCAATTGGACTCCTCTCCTCGATGCCGGCCGCTCCTAGGCTTGGCGTCCAACGCCGGCCCATTCGTGTCGGCGCTTGCCAACTGCTTGCCAGACCCGAATCACAGACGCTATTTGAAGTACAAATTTTGCACAACACATTATGCATCATGAGCATGCAAGTCCGGCGGCTACGTCGGACACCGGACGCTGTCGCTGTTCCTCGGATAGGAACCTGGGCTTGTAATTGGCTTTGGGAGTCTCTGTGCGACCCGCGAATCATTGATCTATGACCGTGCTTGCTTGTATCGTCTCATGAGGGACTATTGCAGGTACCGTGCTTAAGGTGGCTTGATCCGAGAATAGGCGACGACGTTTTTTCTTCTTCCCTCTTCACTCTGGTCCCAACACTGGTGCGGAGTACCTGTGTAGAGACTAGCCATCAGAATACCAAAACTTTGCACAAGTGGACGTGGGCATCCTACGGCTCGCAGTCTCAAGCCACCTCGAATTGTCCAGATAACGTTTTTTCCGCAGCAAGAGGGGCCGGCACGCTTTGTAATTCAGCGTATGTATGCTTGTCCCACAAACTGGTTCAACTAAGAAACGCTAGGCCGGTGCCTCATCTAATCCTCAGCTGTTAGATGGACTAGGCACCTAGGTAAGTAGATGGAATGTCTTGAAATCTTTCCCCAGTGTCGCCGCATCCCTAGGTGACTTTCGGAGACATCGAGGCCCAAGGTATTTGTACATCCCAAGTATTGTTGGAGAACTCTGGATCCAACTCCTGGCCATTACTCTCGCCCTCATAAAACGTACCCTTGTGGTCAAAGCCTTGGGCATGACAAATCCCCGCAGAACAGTTGTGACAGTGCTCGAGCCGATGGCCTGTACTAGCGTAAATCTATTGACCAGCCAAAATTTTTCATAGCTCTAAAGAGGCTGGACTCGAAGCTCGAAACCATGTAGGGAAAAGATGTATACCAAAACTAAGCAGCCAAAACGTTTGAACTACTCCTATGGCAAAACACTGGTATCTGCCTGTGAGCAGTATACCAAACTGCACCCCATGCCTTGGTGAGAAGAAAAGCGTTGTTCTAAAACAGTCCGGATTGCGCATCATGGATTTGACATTATGCTATACTGCCAGGCTATCGGGTACACAAGGGCCATCAGTGGGATGACGAAGGTTTTTCGCAGATAACAGTACTTGCCAAATTCCAAGTCGCCTATGGATGCCTATCGGCTCCAGATATAGAATGGATGGTGACTTGGACGGTTTTGACTGTGTTCTCAAAGTTCGCGACGGAGATGACGGGCATTGTTGCAGTCTTCACCCCGGAAATATACTTGCACTTGTGTTAGCTAACAAGGAGTGCAAAATCCTGCCCACAAAGGAGGCCATTGGCGAAGGCGCTGGAGCTATCTCAAGTTCCTATCACGGGGTTTTTGCACAGGCTTGCAAGGATGGATATCTTGGTTCAACCCCCGAGGGCACGTTGCCGGAAAAGAGGCGAACAAGGAGCAACTACGGCGCTGCTCATGTTTTCTTAATAATGGCGCATCGGATTGTCAATATTTAAGTGCCAGGGTCTGGGGCACTTTCCAGGCTTGACCACACAATATAGTTGTTTATCGACTCCTAATGCCCAACGCAGGAATCGCAATTTGACATCGTCGTCTCTCTAAGTAGCAAAGGGTCTTTTGTCGAGCCAAGCCAGACTCCGAGGCTTCGAACCGCTGATGCAAGGGACCTATGCCTCCAAATGGAACCGAGTGTTTTGGCTTGGGTGCCTATACGCAGTCTTTGATCCGCCGGGTCTTTTAGGAGAAGAGAGGTTCACACAGGAGTCATTCGTTTGCATGTATATGTTTGCATAGGAATGTCGACGCTTTTGTCCTGGCTTGCTCTAGTCTTGGTGCAGCTTAGTGATGGTGCACACATCCATGCTCAGAAGCCCTGAGGCATCAGATTCCATCTGAAGGAAACAGAGGATTCAATCCAAGCTGCCTCAAGAGACTTGAGAAATGAGCTACAGACACCTCGTGTCATAAGGTGTGGGGAAAGAGGAACATAGAGTTTTCTCCGAGCCATCAACGAGTTTTCGTGGTTCTCTCATCCAGTTCGTTCCGCATCGTCAGTCAACACCCGATATGGCGCCTCGGCGGCATGAGATAGTCGCGAGCCGGCGCCTGGCGAAGCAGGTTAATAGGGGATGTTGGCTGCAGGAGCAAAAAGTGTCAAGTTCGTGGGCCACGAGGTACATACTAAGTACCTAGTTAGTTTTCATTGACATTCAAACCCTGGGCTTGCAGGGCCAATGATCTTGGTGCGGATTTCTGGTGCCGGCCAAGGCTGTGCAGCTAGCCAGGGTGTTTGGCAAATTCATACATACATACTTAAGTACATACATACGGCACCCATAGCGTACGCGGCTTGTGCATTGGCCAAGGAAAAAGAAGAACAACTGACGCCCCGCGCTCTGGGAAAGACGATGTCTAATGCCACTTCGGCAACGCTGAAGAATTGACTGCTTTCGACGGACAGAGTGGCTAATAACATCAATTCATCTGTTCATAGAGAAAGTATGTACATATAGTAGAGGGTTGAGAAGGACCAGTTGGACGTGCTTTTTTTTCCAAAGATGCCACGACGGGAGTCAGTGAGAAACGCCGTCGGTGGCGCCAGCGCGGAAGGAGCTTGGGAACTGAGGGCCGTACCGTGCTTGCCGTACTTACTTAGGCACTTAAGTCCTAGTAGTAGTAGTTGAACCCGCCTCAATCGCTCGTGCGACACTCCAATTGGAGTCTGGTGTCATGCATCACGATTCACTGCTAACTTCGCTAGGTAACTCCGTACCCAAGTCCAAGTTGACAGTTAACTCCACATTTGGAGCATGGGTCAATGGTGCACATCTCACCACCTTGAGCCAAGACTGGGAGGCTTTTCTGCCACTCACCACGCACGCCACCCTACGCCACTTATTAAGCGCTCGTGCATCTACCTACCTTTTCCCTAGGTTTTATGTACGTACGTGAGCCGACAGAGTGTCAAGGTGTGTCTTTCTTCAGGTGTCATCACCGCCCAAATTGTCGTCGTCTGACGCACACGCGATAATGTAAAGAGTATGACTAGATTGCAATAGTCGCACCAGCTGAGGCTACATCTGCCAAACACGCACATAGGTGCACATGGTCGGCAGGAAGCTTACCATGGCCGCCACGCGCGCAAAATAGCAACATCAACAATTCACAGCGTCTTGTTACCACGGCCCTTCGATCAGTACCGAGTCTGCAAGCTTCGGTCCGTGTACCGAGACAGTGTTACTTTGAAACAGCAACTGCCCCGTATTGACCGTCTTCATGCAATCTGGGGCTAGTTGAGATAAGAGATGTGAGCAGTCGCAAACTCGGGTTCAACATAATATTATGCACTCCGCAATGGGCCAAGCATTGCCTCGTGCGTATCCATAAGCCGATACGCTGAGCGGAATCCAGACATGGGTCGAATCATGCACGAGCGATCATCCCTACTACTTTTTCGATTGCATTGCATCACCATCACCAATGACAGCAGCTTGCAGGTCCACCAGTAACAATCTTTGCTTTAGGCATGGAGTGTTAATACTCAATGTTCGTCTATTACGCGTCGCACCACCAGCTCTTTGTCCAATCCTGGCCGGTACGTTATTCAAGATTTGACTTCCTCACGACGAGGGCCGACTTCACCCAGGTGCTTTCAATGCATGATATCCCTCCCTCCTTTGTTGCATTGGCCCTGGTGACATTGCTAATGTGACGAGGAGATGATGTGATACGAGGAACCCGATCCGACTTCGGTACTATACAGGTAGCCGTGCCCTGTCAGACGATCAAAACCCGGAGAACCTGGCTCATATCTATCAGGAATGATGCCTGCTTCCCCGAATTGCCTCCATTGGACAATCAATCGATGAATTCTCCCAGACCTAGAAAACAAAACAAGTCCTCACCCTCCCTGTGCATCAGCAGCGGTCAATGGGATGATGATGACCTCCACACGGACAGACACCACAGCTTCCTTCAATCCTCAACTACGGATAACTGAGAAAGAATCACGTACCCTGTACAGTGTGTGTACCTTTGACGTTTCATCAGACCATCACTGCACAAAAAGTTCTTTTCAATGTCTCTGAAGCTGGGATGCCTCGGGCACTCTGTGGCTGCCCACGAGCGAAGCACACACACGTAAGGGGCTCCATTGACCCAAGCCACCAGGACATTGTACAGCTCCCGTGGACCGGAGCCATTGTAGTATTGTCAAGTCCAGTAAGGGAGATTGGAATCGCTCCTAACCAAGCCAACAATTTGGGGCTACAAGCCTGCTCGTTCACCAACACGGCGAGCCTGAGGAGTCAAGGCCATATTCCGTCACACTGCTCCGTACAACAGGCATCCCAGCACGTCCAAATATCGAATCGAACACATTTTCCAACGCCACTAGTCTCATGCGGACGACTGAGATCGGACCTGCCAACTGCTCAGTAGCAGAAAGATGTTAGCCTAGTACTTCAACGGCACTGCTCCATGCTCACCGTGTCTGGGTAAGCTGGCCATCCTTGCTTAAGTGTTCACATTTTTCTTTACCGTGTCTGGGCTGGCCAATTGGCCAGCTCAAACCATGGTGGTTCGTACGAGTACGACATACGGCCTGCAGCAGGTCCGAAGTACCAGATTCTCCCGAGAGAGGCGGCTCTCAAGCCTATCGTTGCCAGGCATGTCCATCATCCATAATTCTTCAGACGCGCCCGTGGCTGTCCTGGGTCCAAAGGGTATCGTCTCCTGTCCAGTTTGAAGCATCGGGCTTATGCTCCTGGCCTTCAAATGTTCGAAGTCGGCATAGTACCGAGCACTAGCGCGCCGTCTATTCACTCGACTCATCCATCTATCTCGGCATGCAAACGAATGGAGCACTGCGTCCTGGCATCTTTGGAGAGTGGTCCAAGGATTGGCCAAGTACTCCGTACCCCGTACTGTCAATGAGGTCTCCCTGTCATCCCACACCATCAACCACCACCCCTGTTCAACCCCAAGGGTCTTCAAATGGACGCTCATGTCTGTGCCACCTTGACAGTCAGCCCCGTCCACTGGGCCGTCCGACTCCACGGGGTGCCCAAGGTCTGGCTGGTTGCTGAGTGGCGGATCCGATGGCGCAGGGTGGTTTCTGGTAGCCTGGCAGCAGCCCGTGGCCATGGTTTTGGTAGGAGTGCCACAAAGGGAAACGGGGTAGGACTCCGTTGTTTGACGTAACAACCGTACTTACGGAGTAGTACTTCGTTCAGAAGCCGGATCAAACATCCTTCTTCGGAGTAGCTGGCGCCTTCAAATGCTAGTGCCCATTGGACATGGGATGGATACTTTCAGTGTTGGCCGTACTCCGTAGCACTTCTTGGTACGTACGGATGGGCAGCTTGGCAGTCTGACGCGGAGCCACCAACGTTTTTATTTAGTGTGCCCGTGGCTTCACTGTGCGATGCATAACTGCACAACCGCCTTCATATTACTACATGTACTGCGAGGTCGCCCACCTGATGTCAGCTCATCGTTATGGCGCCTCTTCTCCCTGCCCTGCCTCGAGCTGCTTTCGCTGAAGAATCCAACATTGAACCTGCATGCGACCGTGTCTTTTTTCATCCTCAATTCAATAGCAGCGCCTTTCACTGTCGCCGCCATCAACGTCGCTATCGCTGTTGCTTTCGTATTTCTCGCTGCCAAAACCGTCTGTATTCCTTATCAGCCTCTCAGCGCTGCTGCATCTCAGACGGCCTTCTCTTGATGGGTTCCCAAATGGCCGCCTTTGGTCCGCCCTGACGCGCGAGCAGGATTGTCGCTACTCGAAACAGTTCCGAGCACAATCCTCGTCACGTACCACCGTCGACTTCAATTCCATGTCTCCTCGACTCTATTATGGATGACCAAAATTCTTGGCCCGGCCTGTCACCCGAGTTCGAGCGCCTCGAGGATCCGCGAATGCTGCACCCTGAATTCCCTGAAGTTTCAATACACCAACTTCCGCCGTCTTCTTCACAGTCACCAGTATCTGAAAGACGAAGCATCGAGCCTGGGGCCCTACCAGGCTCTCAACGGCACCGTATTTACCGCCGCCAGAACCGGGCTCAACCCATTGAATCTCTTGTGCACAGACTAAGAAGACATTCGCTGAGGTCTCGGGGCCATTACGCTGATATACTACCCGACTCTGCCAATACGGCACCCCTTCAGCGTCATAGAGGGATATCTGACGTCCAGCGACGACCCGACTATGCCTTGACGGACTGTGACAGCCCCCTGGATATCGTGCAGGAATCAACAATATCAGCTCAAACAGAACAGCCATGCAATCAAATAGCAGACAATATACTCACTCCTTTTGCAGAGTATGATCCAAATGTGCCTCAACTAGAACCAGAAAAGCCACTGTCGTCGACACCAGCTGAATTTCCCTCAATGGTTATGATTCCTGAGTCTACCACCACACAACACCACGTCCCGCTTCCCGAGGTCGACCCAAAACACAAGCTAGGGTTTGAGGATCTGGATCTTGATGAGGGATATGGGCATGGGACCGACGAGCTTGTTTGGACAAATGATGGCCATGGCCTGCTTCAGAGCCTTGCCAGCCGTGCACGCAAAAGTGGAGCTCTAGCATACCGGACGTCCTCGGAGGCTGCAATGGACTGTTCCCAAGTTGTACACAAGGTTCCGAGGATGCGAAGGCGAAGACATAAGAAAAACCAAACTAGACTCCAAGCATCGTCAAGCATAAAGACATGCGGAATTGATAGTCACGATATTACCACCCCCAGCCATCTGGTGGATGAGAAGAACCAACATGGACATCTGAAAGCGTCATGCCCTCATATACCCTAGTTCTTTTGGGCTTTCACTATTCTTCTTAGTATTACCATCACACGTTAGCACCTATATTACTATTACACTCCACATCGTCTGTCGTAAGCGACATGACAGTCGTCTTCACCGTCTTCCTTCTCCCTCCTTTCCTGCCTCTCTCTTTGATGGCCACAGTTATGTTTACTTTTTGCCTGACTTTCCCTATTTGCTTGATTCTACCCATTTAGTGTCGTTTCCAATTCTTACCCTGTTCCGCGATTACGCGGGTTTGCGGCAGATCGGTTTTCTTGGCGCATTCCATTTTGTGTTGTATTCTTGGGGGTTGTTTCTTTAGTTGCAGGCAAGTAAAGCCTGCTTGTATTATACAGGGCGTTCTTGGCGTATCGGCGCGTTTTGAAAGCGGTGACGAGGCTCCGATCATAGCTACCGAATCAAGCTCTGTCATATCCCGGCTGCACACGAGAGTTGTTGGCTTCAAACATCGCTGTGCTGAGTCAGTTGACCACAGCTTGAGGCTAGTGCCCACAATGGCTGTCAATTTGGCGGAATAGAGCCTAGCCGACGGCTGTACCTGCATCATCATCAGAAGAAGCCTCTTGCAACAATGCGAGTAAGGCCGAAATGGCCAGCGAATAGTGGCCCAAGCCAGGCGGCGTGGACCACCCGAGCATGCATAGAGACGAGACTAGCACAGACTTGGAAGAGAGCTGCACTCCGTACCTCGTACGCTGCAAGATAGCTGGCAGTCTCAACAGATCAGGGCAGCAGGCGTGGAGGTGGAATTGGGAATTGGCGCTTGAGCCACAAGAGTCGAGATATCGGGAGGCCGGTAATGGAGCTAGAGGAGCCAAGACGGGCCCGATGGACCAGGCAGAAGATGTTAAAGGCGAAACCGGAAAGGGCATCGGGAAACGAGAATGAGAATCAGGAAATGGACTAGGAAACAGAAAGCAGGGTTCAGATGTCAGAACAGACGTCAGAATGGGCCATGCGCGAGGCACAAGAGGCACACCGTCCTTGGAGCGGCTCGGGCGGTTGAGACGGGAGATCCCTGTTGCCGTCAACTGGCGAACCGAGGCAGTCTAGATTTCATCGAAACCTTAATGTACTCTGTACTCCTTAACTTCTACCCGTATGTCATGACATGCTCAAGCGGTCAAGTGGTGGCCGAGTTTGGGGTGATTGCGAGCTGCATCATTAAAGGAGTGCGCAGGTGCAGGTGCCAGCCTTTGCTGCCTACCCCTCGCACTTGCCCGAATCTAATCAAACTGATAAAAATGGCCATGTTGAATCTACCTCGCTAGCAGTAGTTGGCCTTTGCATCAACTTGGTGCTTCCCGAATTCGCGAAGTAGGTCCCAACATAGAAACAAGATGATCCCGAGCCATCGACCGCTTGTCGTAGTCGAGTCTCCTTGCCCAGACCCGAAGCCGGACCCTGGCCCTGGCCACGATAACTTCAAATCTTGAAAGCCAACAGACCGATCGAGAAGCCATCGAGCCAGAAAACTGACGTCAATGAGGGACCGAGGGGGGTACCTACCCCGTAAGTTGCTGCACGCGCAGAGTCCTGTCGTCTCTGGATGCACCGAGTACATGTGCACCCGTGTACCTACCTTGGCCTATCGGTCCACGAGGTTGAGCCTTGCCAGGCAGCCAGGCCCAACCGTGATGGCTAACTGTGTGTCATTCATCTCAGGGCGACTACCACGAACCAACAACAACATATGCTGCTGCGCCGCCGCCCAAAACGAAAAATGCGTTCAATGTTTGTGCTCAACAAGGCTATGCTCTGTCTGGCCTGGTGGTGTACTGCGCCGTACCGCACGGCTGTTTTGCAGCAATTTGCAGCCACGAGGCGAACCAACAACGTCCTACACTTGAATATGCATCTGTGTAGTTTATGCAAGCAAAGACCAGAAAAGAAGCAGACTTGCCAATTCTCTAAAACACCTCGTCAGCGCTCTGTAAGCAGCCCGCATGGAGTTTTCCTCACGTGTATTGAGCAGTTAGGGAGTAGCAATCGAGCGTCATGGCTAATCTCCGCCATCAGTCTCCAATGGTCATCAAGGGATCAATGTTCACGGGTCTACAAGTTACACCGCTCGCCCACGCTGATGACGGGGTTGGGGCTTGTGGTTGGGAATGGGGACAGGGAGAAAAAGAAAAAAAAAAGAAAAAAAAAATCTTCGTTTCGGCCGAACCTAGCAGGCATATCCCTTCCGCTCAGGGCCCAGGAACTCTCGACACATGGGAGCAGGCATCTTTCTTACCGGTATGGAGACGTCAGACGGGTACGACGAGTCGAGCCACCTTTGCCGTGATATTGGCCAGACTTCATTCCCGCCTGCATGGGTATCAACATGGACTGGCTATCACGTTACAATATTATATTATACGGGGTGGGCGACTGAGTTGCTAGACTTACTTTGGCACTTGCCCGTCCCTCGTTTTGCGCTGTTAGTTGGAAGCACCTCAGCACCTTGTCACCGCTTGTCAAACCGCACACCATGGATGGCATCGGCCATAACGGCCTGCTCATGTCCGTCCATCCCCATCCATGCTCCCCATGCTTCCCATGTTCCCCATGCTGGTCAGGGTCTCCAGGGCCTCAGGGTCCTTTGTCCTCACCCAGGTGCGTACTTGTTGTATGCATCACTCTACCTGACCTGACCCCCAACCGTTGACTTGGCAATCGACATTCGTCGCGCTGAAACACGTGGGGTAAGGTGTTGGTTTCCCTTTTTGATGGTGCTGGAGTCTAGGCTACTATTTCCTCCCGTATGTATGCTTCTGAGATTACAATGTCTCCAGGCTAACGTTTAGCCTGGGCTTCTGGCATCCGGCCAAACTGTTGACAGGTGGAGCTTGAGCATACATACATCCACACATAGTTCGTGGTGGCAACCTCGATCCTCCATGTCATCTCACAAGCAAGGCATGGCGTACATATGCAATGCGCAATGCACAAAACGAAGCCGAACCATAGGAGCGCAATTTGGAGGAAAATTTTCAAGCGACGTCAACTGTCACCCAGCATGCTGCTTCACAGGGACCTTGGGCTCCAGGCCTCGGGCTTCTCAGGCTTCTCAGGCTTCTCAGGCGCGGGGGGCCTTGGGCTTCAGGGCTTGGGCGTCGGGACGCGGGACTCGGGACTTGGGACTCTGACTCCTTCACATGGGCAGCACGGCTACGGCTGTACGTATGTATGTATGTACTCCGTACATGAGCCGAAGATGAAGGGCCCATCTGAGTCATGCAGGCGGCCTTGCAGAGCCCGCGATGGCCAGGGCATGGAGGGCGCGGTTTCATTCTCGTTTCTCTTGCTCGCAGGAAGCCGGGGAAACGTCGACCGGATAACGAGGGCGGGCTTTTGGCGCTCACGAGCTGCGTCTTGGTCTTTGCATCGCACGACATGGTGGCTAGGGAACGGGACCAACAGTCGGCCCTGGCCGTCAATCAATGCATTGTGGGCTCTCCAGTAATTTCCCAGCAAGCCCCCGTTGCAGTGGGGATGGCGGCAGAGTTGCTCTCTAAGAATACCCTCGCGGCATAACATGGTCTTGCGACGAGGTCGAGGTCGAGGTCGAGGTCGTGCTCATGCTCATGCTCACTGCTCGGCACCTCCATGTTTGAGCGGTAATGGCTGGCTCGTTGCACTTGCACTTGCACTTGCACTTGCAGTCGAGAAGAGTTGGTGCTTTGGGCGTGGCCTCTGCGTGCGAGAGTCGAACAACGACTGGAATGCGCAGCGCTATGTTCCCACATTCCAAGGCCTGCCTCTGCCTGCGAATGCCCCAAATAACAACTTCGCTCCTGAGATCGGTTGCTAGCTGATCGCTGCCCGTTGCCGGGTGTTGTGCTGAGCCAATTGTTGCTACGGGATGCGATATGGCCAACAGGTTTTGCTTGCCCTCGGGCCATCCCAGCTTAGATTGATAGCTTCGGGCCACGACGGGAACTCCCATATTCCACTTGTTCCCAACTCCCTCCTCCTCCTCCTCCTCCTCCTCCTCTAATTTCCTAATCTATCAAGCCCTCTCCATTCTGCAGGCTTGATCAGTCTAAAAAAACAAGACGACTCTTTGTGCCTCATGGCATTGCTCTGTTTGCTCTGAGTCGCAAAGGTTGTCGTATGTCATATATATATGTATATATGTATATGTGTATATGCGGAACCTTTGGCCATCATCATCATCAACAACAACAACAGCAACAACAACAAACGACACATTACCCTTCAGCACCACACACAACATCACACGCCGCAACGATACCCTCATTGGCAACACCAACACCAAAGCCACAACCCCAGCCCTTTGGTCCTCGAGATGGCCTTTTGGACTGTTCCATACCGGGCCGAGGCGGTCGATACAAATCGGGACCCTAGCATGTATTGGGAGGATATCAACAGCGCCAGTACCGATGACGCCCACAACGATTTCTTTGGCCAGTTCGTCGACTTTGATGCCGATGGTACCATTACGGCCACGACCGACAATGACTTCAACACGGTGCCAGCTTCTATGCCCGGCGTGCCAGAGTCTATGCTCTTAATGGGGGACCGTACTGTCGCAACCCTAGAAAGCGCCGTCTCATCCTGCGTTTCGTCCGCCGATGAGTTTGACTTCCTCTCTAGCAGCTCTCGCATTGGCCCAACTGCCTCGGCCGCCAGTCACGAAATCGACCCCAAGGACCTCACGTTAAGTGCCGATGAACTTGCTCATCCATCTCAGCAGCAATTTGACTATCTTGGGAGAGGATCCATGTCCGAGGCAGACCTCAGCAGACTTGAGAGTATTTCTCTGCATTCGCCGCAGAGACCGCAGAATACAACGTCGTCAGATACACCATCTCCAAAACCTCCCAACACCGATGCCCGGAGGCCCAAGAAGTTTGTGGAAGCCTTGTCTTCCACAATAAGAAAGGCAACAAATTTGCGACGAAATAGGAAAGCAGCGGCTGTGCCCCGGCAGGTATCACCACCACAAGAACATCTACAGCCTCTGAAGGTACCTAAGCAAAGGCGAGGAAGAGGCCGAGCTGTGACGCAGGGCAATCTACCCGTATCTCCTCCACTTCAACAGCAAGAACAAGCTACTCCCCATTTCATCCATGGGCAGTGTGATGACCCCTTCAACGACACCGCTCTTCTGCCGCCTGGAGGTGTCAATCTTCAGTATTATGGGCAGGTTGCTCCGGATACCCCCGTAGAATCTCCAGGTGTAAAGAGCGAAACTAATCAGAGTCATTTCCAAGTCGATATGGCTTGGCAACATCACCATCATCCCCACCATCATCATCAACAGCAACAGCATCCTCCTCCTCCTCCTCACCCTCACCCTCACCATCATCAGCAGCAGCAACAGCAGCAACAGCATCAGCATCATCAACAGCAGCAGCAGCAGCAACACCAGATGCATTGGACAGGCACCGGAGGCGAGTATATCACCAGCCAGGAGGCCGGTTGGTGGACCCCGAATATGATGAGTCAAGGACCAAACGACTTTTCTCATCACCAGAGGAGTGCTAGCGTTCATGTTATGGGGCATGGCCAGCACACAGGGATGCCATATGACTACGGAGCTATTGCCGACACCAGCACGGGTGGGCTTATGATTCACATGCCTCAGCCTCGAGGCTCCCAGTCAACTGTGGTCAATGACTTGACAGTCAACGCGCAGACGTTTCTTCCACCGCCACCCCCCATTCCTCAGGCTATAGGGCAGAAGATGCCTGGTTCAGAGAGATCTCATCGCCCTCCCAAGGCCAAGTCGTCTGGAGCAAGACACTTGTCTTGCTCCCCTGTGCGAAAACAGCGAGGGCCATCATCTTCGCCGACACCCGCGGATCAGTCTGCTGTCCCCCGATCTCGCCACAGCTCTGGGGCATCTGTGTCATCGTTAAGGAGCAGCTCCGGCCGTCTCCCTGCCAGCATGCCTGGCACCCCATGTAGTGTTCGCAAACGCCGCTCTCGAGATATCAGTGGCTCAAACAGCGCCACGTCTTTGGGTGGTAGCGACGGAGCCAGCGGGATCGGTTTCGTCAACTTTACACCAAATGACGGCAGTGTGCTCATGACAGGCGTCGCCCCCAGTGGAAGTTCCAAGACAAAGGCGCGCCGTGAAAAGGAAGCCCAGGATCGACGCAGACGCCTGAGCGAGGCCGCCATTAAAGCTGTAGCCGCCGCTGGGGGAGATGTTGACAAATTAATAGAGCAGGGGTTTGCTTTTTGAACCTGGAGGCGAATGATAAATGCTGTACTACGAACTTGCGATAATGGTTGATGGACATTTTTTTTCACGGCGACAACGAGCGTCACATGAGACGAAACGGCGTTGAGGAGTCAAAACGAACAACACTCAAACAACACGATGACGAATACCAATCATTTCAGGGGACATTACCTCACGATTTGGGTCACTGATATCGGAGGAATGATACGAATATCAAGTCAATGAAACGATGTCTACCCCACCTACACTATCAACCCGATCCATTTCATATCATGTTGTTAACTCTACTTGATTTTGTTTCCCTTTTCTTTCCATCCAACCCTGTTAAAATTCTCTTTCTTCCCTTCTTTCACCCATACATCTCTGTATACGTCATCCCTGGAAGTCACGTACTTGAAAATGGGCATAATAGCTTTCTTCTAACATGTACCAATCTTGCCTGCCAATGAAGTTTTGTACGCCCCATGGCTTCTTGCTTCCCCTTTGTCTGAATTTTCTTTTTTCTTGCCGAAATTTCTACTGGCCCAACTGGCAAGCCATTTTCTTCATGTAGCGGGACGAGAAGCAAGAAGCGATGATGATGAGATACAAGTCTCTTTGTATGAGTAAGGTGGTTATTATAGTGAGCATAAGAGTAGCACAGACACTTAATATCTATAATATTCAACACAACATTGCACCCTTTTCTACGCGCAACACGCCGCGCGCCAAGGAGCGTAGCAACGTGTAAGTAAATGAGGCCCTTTTTCGTCTCTGAATCCGCTTGTGCACACCCTCACTTGCATGTGCGCCGAACAGAATAGAATAAATAGTTTCTTTCATACTAAGGTGTATACAGCTAGAGTCTACTTCTCCAGCCTAGGTCGTGATGTTTCCCCATCTTCATGCTCGGCCCAAAGTAATCCTAGCCAACCAAACCCCGTTGGCCAAACACAAAAATCAGAGCCAGTACCACTGACGATTCCCTCCCAATACAGATATATACACTCGCAGGAAACAGCCGACCGAGGAAAAAATTAAATAAAACCAAGAGCTCGCGGGAGGGACCATCGAGACCGTCATATGACAGATAGTATACGGAGTCTACCATAGTCCTTTTCCACATTATCATCAGTACGCCATCATGCCTCCCTAGGCAGGAATAAAAAAACCCAAGCGACATTAACGGGGGAATAAAGAAAGAAAAAAAGTCAAAATGAAATATACGTGGTAAAGGGACAGAAAATCCCGACGTGCCGTAGCCTCCCTTATAATTGCTGATGCGATGCAGTGCGGAGCTCCATTCTTGACTCAGGGGTATGTATGCATATACCGCGCTCGCTGTGTGGAGTGTATTCGTCAACTATCCAATGGCTACCGTCAGAATTCAACACGGAAGTGACGGCCGTTGCAAATATTCATCAACCATTAGTAGTGGTGGTTGCTTGTGATTGTAAAAACTTTCAAACGCTGATAATGGAATGACTGTGGAGATGGCTGGGGTATTCCCTGCCTCTCCTTTAAGATATGTTTCCTTTTGATTTTTACTCGTAGCCTGCGCCACGCTGCCAGGGACTATTCAGAAACTTGTTAGACGGGACATACCATTCCGTGTTGTACAGGAGTCCACTTACCTAGACGTGTTTTGTGATCGGTACCCCGGAGCCGGGCTCGAACTCTGGTTGGGTCGCTGCGCCGCGGCAGATCCACTGCGGTTGTAGGGGCTTGGTGACCCGGAGCGGAAGGGGCTCTCGGGTCGCGGGTCTGCCGGGAAAAGCGGCATGGACGGATTGACAGGCGACCGAGGTCCCTGCTGTCCTTGGAAAGAGTGCTGAGAAGCCGCAGCAGAAGGATTCTGACCAGCAGCCCGGCGACGAAGGTCCTCGGACGAGAAAGACTCGTTGTCATCCTCCAAATCCATGTGAGCCTTGTATCCTCCAGCCTTGTCACCTCGGGCAGTAGCGGCAAGAGCATCCAGCTCAGTCGTGGTAGTCAGGTGCGTTTGAGACTTCATAAACGAAGCTCGGTCGTCGGCCATGTACTGGTAGCGAGCATCGGGGTTCTTGCGGATCAAGGAGACCGTAGTAGAGATAATAACCATCAGGAGTAAGATGAGCGCAAAAACTGCGTTTAGGACAAAGAGAACGACTCCGACGACTCCGACTACCAGTTGAGGGGCTCCAAATACATTAGAGAAGATCAGCAGGAAGATGGCGTTGAGGAAATTGACGACGCAGATGGCGATATTGAACGAATTAGTGGGTTTGTCCATCCAAGGTCGAAGAACTGACGCTGCGATTAGAGCAGCAGCCTCGATAATGACGAAACCAACGGCTTGGGCTACTCCGCTCTTCTGAGCAAAGGCAACGAACATGGCCTTGACAAGAGTGTACACCAAAACTGGAACAATAAAGTAGTATGCAGAGGCGCGAAATTGAATGTAGAGGAATCCCCACTTGTTGAGAGCCTGAGGGTCAGAGAATAAAATGTAGGCAGGGTTGCGGTGCATAGCCACAGAACGGCGAGCGATACGGATAACCTTGGTTGCGCCCCAGGCCAGCGTGGCGGCCAGACCGAAGAAGAAGAAAACAGCAAGCACAACCTCGGCCGCCGAGTCAACTTGAGTAAACTCCCAAAGGCAAAGGATGGCCATCTGAGGGAAACCGATAAGAGCCACACGGAAGAGAATACCCTTCAAGACGGTGAACCAGCCATTTCGGAACTCGAGGAAAGTATCGCTGTCTATCCACTTTTGCTTTACCGCGAGCTCGCAAATCCCCTTGAAGCTGGCAACAGCCAGAATGGTGAAGACGACGAAGATGCAGAAGAAGGTTAACCCAGTCATGAACAAGTTGGTGGTTTCGATCTTGGAGCGGAACGCTACACGCTGAATTCCATAAACGATATAAGCACCGGAGGAGGTCATGATGTTGCCTCGCTTAATCAGGTTGCCGGCGGCGGCGACAACGGGCCTGGGCATCATAGCGGCACCACGCCTGAAAAGACTGAGGCTGTGGCCCGTAAAGTCTAGGCCACGCTTTTCAACCTGAACAGAGACGGTGGTGAGGGTATCGAAAATAGTGGACGGGGTACCTCCAGTAGCCCGCTGATACCAAGTGAAAATGGTTTGCATGAATCCGACCTTGATAATACCCATCGACCATTGGAAATCCTGGGTCCAGGACTGAACAATGGGTGGTAAGTGAACACCGGTGAGACCAAGGATAGCCTGTCCTTGAAAATAGCCGAAGAGCGAGAGCGAGTTAGCTGCAACGTGAGCGGCCGTGTTGGAGTGTCCAAGACCATTGACAACAGCAGAGGAAACCAGGGCCAGACCAGCAATAATAGCGGTGGCCCACTTGACTCCCAATAAGTCAACCGTCTTTCCGTTTGAAATGTCGGCCTCGACACAGGCAATGCTGCGAGGGTTGTCAGTCTTGGTCAAGTTGATCTGGACACGGACGGTGGCATCCAAGTCGGGAATGCTGTAAGCGATGCCGGGGATCTGCTTGGCAGCATCGGCTGGGACGGGCAAGTTGAAGGCGAAGGGAATCTTTCCGGCAACCATGGGACACAGACCACCCAGCTTCATCTCACAAGGATCAACGGTCTTCCTCAGAAAAGTGTAACCATAGGCGGAAATAGCGAGGTCGAAAAGAACGTAGCCCTGGACGGATGACGTGGCGACAACCTCAACGGTCGCAGAGTTATTGTTTGGGGTGTAGACAACATTAAAAAGACTGGCAGTAAAACTTGAGTCGTCCTGGCAATTATTGAGAGAATTGGACACGAGCATGTCCTCGCCGGCAACCGGGGAAAGCATCGTGGCCATGGAGGCCAGGAGCAGCAGCGGCGCCTTGAGAAGCGACCGCATTTTGACAGTGGTCGAGTGATGTCGTTTGATCTTGAAGAGAGGAAAATTCGGAGTTGGGGCCAATACAATCAATCAATCGGCACTGCCCACTCTGAGTGGTGTCGTCGTCTTCGTCCCGCGAAACGGCTCACTGTTTAGTCGAAGAAAGAGCTCATGTGCTGAGGGCTGCCAGGTTTAAAATGGTTAATTAACGAGGCAAACGGAAGGTCGGTCGGTGGGCTGGGCCAGGTCGGATCAATAGGTGGGATGCTAATCGGGTTGAGTCGACGACCGAGAGAGCCTGTCGCAACTATATCGTCTGCAAGCGAATGACCTCTACCAGAGATGAGGTGACGAGGAGAGAAAACGATGACGGTAGACGGCGATGGGTGATGTCGGAGCGAGGGGAATAAAGAGTGACCGATCCGAGCAAACACGTCGTTGCACGAAGACGCCGAGAGTAGCGAATGAAATGGGGCGGTGGAACAAAGGCCCTGTCCAGACAAGATTGTCAGGGAAGGCGACAGTCGACCGTAAGAAGGGGGCGATGGGCGAGGTTGAAGTTGGAGATGGCTGTCGCGACAATGAAAAACGAGCCAAGTGATGGAGGAGGAGACGAGGCACTTGGGTTGTGATGAGGGAAAGGAGCCACAAAGAGAGGGTGGGTTCGGGAACAGGACATGGAGTGGAGGAAGCAATGTGCAGACATGGAGGGCTTCCGGTGGCTCGTCGTCAGTCGGTGGAGATGACTTTGAGAGCCAGAGTAGCCAGAACCTTGACGTTTCCGGGCGGGCAGTGCTGAAGGGCCTTCTGGGCTGTCTGGGCGCCTGGGGGGGGGATTCGAGGGAGATGGGAAGAGATGTGGCAGGCGGCAGGGGTGCTGGCCCCACATCGGGTGGGGCGTGGCCGTCTTGAGCAAATGGCGAGCGTGCAGTCTCTGGCTAGCAGTGATCCGGTCTGATTTCCATTTGACTAGTACCAGTCGTAGTACTTTCTTTATAGGGTTTGACGCCAAGGCCAAAAGGCAAAGGCCAAGGCAAACATGAAGGCAAAGGCAAAGGGGGCTAGGGGGACGGCCAAGCGGTGCAGAATTGGAAGCATACTACATGTACATGTTGGCGCCGCGCGGGAACTCTGTGCTGGTTGCCCGGGAGCAACTCAACAGGAC